GAAATAGTGAAATTTTGATTCACTCAATAAATATATATATATATATATATATATATATATAGAGATTTAGGCAGCATTATAAGCACAATAAGCCTTAGTTTTGCTCAGCCAATACTGTGAAATAGTTATTGTTAATATTCAGACATGTTAAGTTTTTTTAAAGGGGCAATTTTTATGGCCACCATTTTGTTTCATCATGATCCTTCCTATTAAATACTACCGTACGTAATGATGAAGTCCAGTCAAGCATGACCTTTTTTAGTAGTGGAGTGTCTCAAGAGGTCAATGCTTGGGTCTTTGCTTTTTCTTATTTACATTATTGATAGGCTCCATAATTAGCATATTAGTACAGTTTGTTAATGACATCAAACTCTCAGACATTTCTAGTTGTATAGAGGATGTTGAGGTACTACAGGCTAACTTGCATCAATGGGAACTTGGACAAGAATATGGCAAATGATCTTTAATTATAAAATTTGCAAATAAAGCATTTGATTATCATGTTGATGGGAAAACAACCAACAGCATAACTCAAGAAAAGGATCTTAATTACCAAACTGATGGCTAAGTCGCTCACATCTTCAAAATAGGGATCTATTGCTATTAGCAAAACTAATATAATTTTAGGGTTTATTTATAGACATATACTCATTACAGTTCAAAAGACATAAATCATCACTCTATACAAATAACTAGTTATGCCTCACTTATGAAAAATTATATTGATATTGACTTACTGTAGTGGGTTCTGAAAATGGGTACAAGGATGATTTCAGGATGGAAGGGTTATGTTCCATGGATATGTTAAGATCTCTTAACTTATTTTCTCTTGAGACAAAAGGATAAAATGAGGTTATATAAAAGTTTACATGATTATTCACAGGATCAAAAAGGCAAAGGCTTCCGACTTCTTTGTGCATATTTGGAATAGACAGGCTAGACTCCAGTTAAGACAGTTTTATTTTTCTAACAGAGCAATTGGCTTAACGAATGAACTGCCACTGACAAAAGGTCAGCACTTTACAGGAGATTAAGAAGAGAATTTATTATTTCCTAAAATAATTAATGGAGGATTTACTATTTTTTTTTTATTCATCAAGAATATATGTACAAAGACAGATTTGAAGGACCAAATGATCCTTTACTGTTCATATACTTGTTATCTGCTTTAAGATTAAAATTTAACAGTTCAAATAAGGTATGAGAATAATTATTTACTTCACACTTATCTTACCCTTGGTATATTGATGTATGAAGTGAGAAGACCATCAGCTGCTTCTGGGGACAGTAATTTCAGTTCTTTCACTAGGACTTCTTTCATTCTTTGAGGATTCTTGAGCAAACTTTGAATTTGTACACCATTATCTATAAGTACAACAAAACATCCTTCAATAATTATTACCACAATAAATTTTTTATATCTTTATTTAATTATAGTCTACAACTATACACAATACCAGCACTGAAAAATTATCACCAAATTTGAGCTTTTGGTTCTATTATTTTTAAGTACAAAATGCAGGAATGACTAAATGCTGCTACAAAAACAGTAACAACTGAATTGTTACCTCTGTATAAAATAATCACTGGTTTATCTAAAATGTCTAAAACACATACTCAAGATTTCTTGTACTTGTGGTTGGTTTACAGTATCTACCACTGCTCTCATCAGACCAACACCTTTCGGTAACTCTTTAATCAGTCTGGTTATATTTTCATTTGTCAAAAGAGGTCCTACTTCTTCTACTAGTTCTTCAACCCTAAAAGACACATGAAATGTTAAAGCAGAAATCTATTACCTGTCTAAAAAAAGATAAATTTTTAACTGTTAAAAAACCTGTACTTTAGAATTAGACATTAGTTAAAAATAATACTTCAATTTTTTAAAGCAACAATTAAACGAGAGCTTAAATGTTACTAGCCAACGATCTCCAACTTTTTACTTAATTATGAAATGAAATATAATTGTTATAAAAAAAGGTTCACCTCTAGAATATTATGACGTTTATTTCATTCACAGTTTTAATTCATTTCATAGCACTTACTCCAAAACCTACAACTTTAGAGCATGTGTTATCTACTATCTATTTTAGGTATGTTAAATTACATACTTTGGAATTTGCAAAAATTATTTTGTAAACAAACAAACCACTAATATATGGCATCTATAGGCTCTTTTTTGCTCAATCCCATAAATTAGATTTATTTATGGTAGATATCAGTGTACTCATGTCACTTGTTAAATGTTTAACACTGTGATCATTACCACTATTTCTAATATTCAAGAAATAGAGGATCATGTAACTAATATATTTTGTAACATCTCTGATGAAAATAACTTAAAACTTTCATGCTTATAAACTATGCCAATAACTATGGTTTATAATATTTATTAAAGATAAAAAAAATTTACTACTCATGTTACTTCTGTATTAAATTTCAACAAAAAAATTACACAATTTCTTAAAGCTCTGGTGTCTCAATACACATTCAAATGAAAGTCTTGGGTTAAAGTCCTGGAGTATATGAACACACCATGTGCTTCTTGTAATAGTGTTATAGTATTTATTTTGAATTTATTATTTGTTCTGAATATGTGCAGGTTTCATGTAACACTGACTACAAAACTGTTAAGCTGATCTTGTTTCAAGTTACCTCTGTTCTTGAGGTAGGTAATACTTGTTACCACTCTTGGGAGTACATTGTTTAAAATAACGTTGTGTATGAATTTCAATAGCTGTGTCCTTCAGTAGTTGTTCAAGTAATATCTGGTGGTCACAGCTCCAACTATTTGTAATAAGAATGACCAGTCATGTGGGTAGTACATGTTGTGCTTAGTAAATGCAAGATTTTCTTGAGACTATGAAACCTTTGATTCAACATTCTGGTCTGGAACATCATTGAAGATAGTTTAATAGAACTTGGTCATTAGTAAGTCAGTCCAATGATCCAGTGAAAGCAATGGTCCAACATAAGCAAACTGAATATAACTGAATATAAACCTGAATATAACACAGCTCCAATCAGGACAGGTTTCTTAAAATCATGTAATTCTTATACTAGTGACCAGTTAGTGATCATTTCCCACCTGAAGATAATCTGTGCTTGGTAGATTACAAAAATGAAACAATCTGTTGTTAGCCTAGAATGATTTGTGGGTATGCGTGTTCCTGTTTGGCTGGTTTGTTTGCTACATAATGGGCTATCTGTGCTGTGCCAACCACAAGTATCAAAACCCAGTTTTTAGTGGTTTGAACCCCAAGACTTACCACTGAATCACTAGAGAACTCTCTTGGTTGGAGGATAATCAATGTTTTGTGTTTGAGGGAGGGAGATATTGAAATAGTAAGAATGGGCAGCTCAACTGTTAGACTGCTGGTATCAAAATACTAGTCTGAACCAAGGGTCATGAGCAAATGGTAACAATATTTTGCAAGTATAGTATATGACAAACTCATAGTAAGAAATAATAATTGCTCAGCTTTAGAAACAACTTAAACTACTTCTCTTTCAGTAACCTTTTAGTTTAATATTAAATGTATTTTCTAAAAATATATACATTCTGTAAAAGGGATTGCTTGTTGGCATTCTATTTCTCAGGCTTTTAGCACTCCCATTGCACTGGTAAATGGTTTGTTTGTTGTTTTGAATTTCGCACAATGCTGCAAGAGGGCTATCTGCACTAGCTGTCCTTAATTTAGCAGTATAAGACTAGAAGGAAGGCAGCTAGTCATCACCACCCACTGACAACTCTTGGGCTACTCTTTTACCAAAGAATAGTTGGATTGACCATCACTTTATAATGCCCCCATGGCTGAAAGGGCGAGCACGTTTGGTGGGACGGGGAGTTGAACCCACAACCTGCAGATTGTAAGTCGAGCGCCCAAGCCACCTGGCCATGCCGGGCTTGGTAAAGTGAGTTTCATTCCAATTAAATGTATTTTACTTGTATACATTCTATTAAGTCATCAAGAAATTAATTTAGCATTTTGGAACACTTTCATTACCCCCCCCAAAAAAAAACTTACATCACGGTTAGGAGTTAAACGAACCACCTAAATGTCACATCAGTGTAGCTTATATAACATGCAAAGTTTAGTATACTCTAATTATTTATAGTGATGGCACACGATGATACACACATTCGGCATGTAATGCTGTTTGAAAAAATGAAGGGAAAAACGCCTCTGTAGCCACAAAGAATATCAAAGAAGCTTATGGAAATGTTTTGAACAATTGTAAGTATCAGTAATGGTTTAGCAAATTTCGTGCAAGTGACTTTAGCCTTAAAAACTGTGATGTCAGGGGCCGACATGTTGGAACTTATATTGATGCTCTGAAGACACTTGTTGAGTCTAACCTAAGGCAACACACTCGTAAAATGGCCCTGAAATTGCATGTCTCATGAAACAATACATAAACATCTAAAGAAGGTGTTTGGGTGCCTCACAAACTCTCCAATGATCATTGTTTCCAGCATGTGAAAGTTGCTTCATCTCTTCGGGTGCGCATGAATTGTCAACGGTGATGAAAAATGGATTCTCTATGCAAATATTAAATGCCACAAATGGCTCAGCCCTAGACAAAAACCACTTCCGACCCCAAAACCAGGACTCCATCCACAGAAAGTGATGCTTTGCATTTGGTGGGACATCAAAAAAGTAATTCATTTCAAACTCCCCAATCCACAGTGAACTGTCAATGTCTACAGTCAGCAACTGGAACATTTAAATCAAACCCTTCATCAGAAATGCCCTTTATTCATCAATCAAAAAGGTGTTCTTCTTCTCCACAACAATGCACGTCCACACGTTTGGAGTTGGGTTGGGAAGTTCTCCCCCACCCACCATATTCTCCAGATATGTTACCATCAGATTACCATCTTTTTCGTTTGCTGCAACACCATCTTAATTGGAAAATGTATGCAAATGTGGAAGGAGTTAAAGAGGACATTGACATGTTTTTGACTTCAAAGCCAAGTGATTTATTTAATCAGGGCATTAACAACTTGATTGTAAGATGGAAAAGCATCATCGATAAGAATGGAGATTATTTCAATTAATAAATGTTTTGTTTTAATATACAAGTTGTTTGGGTTTTTTTCATCTAAAAAAAAAAGTAACATTAATTTCTCGAAGACCTAACATAATGTTATCCTACACCCAGGGTTCTCAAATATAATAGGTTTATTGTTGGGATATAATCAAATTAGACCAATTTAGAGAACAATTAGGCATATCGTGATGTTCTAAGGTTAACTGATTTCCTCAAAAAAATTTACGTAGATCCACTTTATAACAGGAGGATCAGCATTAATTTCTTGATGACTTTATACTACAAAAATACTAAATTCATAATTTTGTGTTATAACTGACAACCTAGATATACCACACTTTTAAGCATATTCTCAAATTGTTGTAAAAAGAAATTATTTCAAAGAAAATTGGTTTTAGGTCCAGTCATTCTAAACCTTATGATTTGTTAACAATTATAAGACTTAAGTACTTTTATTCATCCTCAAAATGTTATCTTTTACTATGTTAAAGCCATTAATTAATTGCAGTTATGATTAAATCCGTCAACTGATTATACGGTTGATATGTTAAAGTGAAATTAACAGTTTTCTGACATTTTAGGAGAATAATGTTCTCGTCAAAGGGTGTTCTAAAGCTATTGAACGTGCCTGTCTGGACTCTGACAAAAAGCAGACGATTATTTGGAAGTAGGCCTATATAAGAAAAGCAGAGGTTTATTGGAAGTATGCCTAAATACAAAAAGAATAGGAGTATCGGAAGTTCAGGATACAACTGCGGTAACTCAACGACAGCGTAAGTGAATTATACATTGATACTGTTGTGATAAAAGAAGAAATAGAGAGAGAAGAAAAGGAATAAGTAAATTATACACTGATAGTGTTTAAGAGAAAAAATAGTTTGGCTTGTCAACTGAATTCTAAAGCAATTGAATTGGCCCAAGTGGACTTTTGAGAAGAAGAATAGGACTGTATAGTATTTAAAACACAAATGTGATATACATAGTAAAGAATTTTTGTACATATGTTTAACTTATCTTGAATATACTATTTTAAAACAAACCGAGTGCGTGCTGTTCATTTATTGTCGAATTTATCGCCAACAAGTCACAGACACCTACTGTAGAAGAATCCTTAGCCCAACACACCCATATATTTTATACTTAATATGTATATATATATATATATATATATATATACTACTAAAAAAAGGTAAGTTTCTTGACAACATGGCTCCTGGATTATGTTATTTATTTTACCCACATGTGAATGATTCTTATCAGGGCTGGAAACAAGAATTGTTGACTGTTAAATTAAAAACTGTACAGCTATTACTCAATCAGCAGAGTAACAATAGAGTTAAGCTCAATTATGGTCATACCCACAGTAACAGAGACAAAGGATAACATGAGGGAATTAAATGGAAAATCATGTCTGAGTTTAGGTATCATTGCCAGAAATGTTAATGAATATAAATCATAGATGTCTAGACAACGGTTGTACTGGAATAAACAGGTAAGACAAATTTTGAAAAACAGGTTTACTTGCTCTTATTCACCACAAGTACCTGTTCGTAACAAGAACTGCACTAAATTTTTAAAATTTTGACTAATGCATAATTTAAACAGAAACTAGTCCACTTTGTGACAGCCTTTCGATTGTGATAATCAATAAAGTGAAAAAAACTTCTTTAGTTGTCCAAACGGCGTAATGCTAAAACAATCTACT